CTCGCCTGCTGCCTTTGGACTATGGCCCCATGTTAAAAGACATCTTTTTCCCTGCAGAAAAGACTTATTCGTGCTTTTCTGCCGGGTGTTCGGTAGATTTGTTTGAGTGTGTTGTACCCCAGATAGGAATCCCATGGAGCCCATTCGCATGAAACTGACTGTGTAAAGACTTTGGCTCCATGGCGTTTAAACTGTATTCGTGTGGTCTGAGCGCCATTCGCTTAATAATGTGCGCTCAGACCTGAGCTATCTGGGGATATGTAGAACGTATATGTTTTATGTACTGAATGTAACTGTAGGTAATTTTGTCTTTTACTGTTTGTTTTCTGCCATGTGGTTAATGGAGTTTTGCCTCTGTCTTTGGAGATACTTGAATCACTTCTCAATTATCTCCAGAGCAGAGAGGAGAGATTGTGATGCATTGTGGGATGGTTGAAATGTGTAAGTCTGTGATTGGTCCTTTTACCCTTTGTGTCCCAGTCTCCCATTTGGTCCCCTAGGGGAGTGTCCACCAGGTGGAAGACCTGCATAAAAGCCGGGCAGTTAGCCCCAGTAAATCAGTTCCTGCTTAACCCTCAAAGTGAAGTGTCATCTCATTATTGGGGGAGGATTTACTGTATGCTGTTAGAGACTGATTGCCAGGAGTGTAAGCCGCTTGGGGGCTTTTCCTGTTCGTCTGCTAGCAGCTATTCGTGTGTCTCCAGTTCGGGAGTTTCGAGTATTCCCTTGGTTGCAGTTCGGGAGTTGGTGAATTCATGGGTTTGCAGTAGCTGTCGGTGCAGCTGAAAAAGGGGAAAATCGCCTAAACGGTTTTTAACCTCTTTTGGGCAAAACGGTCCGTTACACATTCGTATGTTAGTTCGGTAGTTTCCTTCATAGTGTATACGAATGGAAACTACCGAATGCATGGACCACCTTAGAGGAGAAGTGTGTCCCTAGTTAAACTCTTATTCCCTTTCTAACCGAGGTCAATTGATGTTGTATTGCTGTATCTGGGTGCCCGCCATTCGGTAGACGAACACATGGCGGCGGCCATCTTACGCACGAACTCAGCGAGACTTCGCTGAACAGAAATATTAGTGTTTCAAAACAGTAAAACATATCAATGATAGTCAGTGAAAGTGAAGTTTTTTGCATTTTTCACACACAAACAGCACTTTCGCTGATTGTAGCGGAGCTGCAATATTCACATCAATATCTCCGCTGGTAGACTTCTACAATATCCAAGAGAAGCGTAGCTCGGCAATCCTATCCAAATTCCCCAATAACCGGACGGTACAAAGCTTCGGGAGTCAATAGGTTTTTATTGAGCCACAGCTGGCTTTTATACAATTCCCCATGCAAGAGTTTCTTTAATTACTATAAACTATAAACATTTCAAATCATAACTCATATTAGTCAGAACTCCCCTGAAATAGCAGGGCTCTGAGCATCCACTCTGTCAAAATAACTCTCCGCTCCGTATGGTAGAATAGGAACGCCATTCGAGTGAAGTTTAGACTGGTCAACCACGAGATGAAGCCCAAAAATAGTTCCAGGTGGTTGTATGCTTGGACCGGACTTCTTTCAGGAGTTTTTACCATTAAAATAACGAATGCAACTGTTAGTGTAATAGGTGGTCGTGTGCCTTGTATTCGTTCATTCGAATGCCGCTCTGTTTAGGTGAAGGGGAGCGATCATACGAGAGGATGGAAGTTCAGCGGTGTTCGTCTCGAGTGTCCGATTATAGTTCCATGCGCTTGACGACCAAACACTGCTGTCTGTTCGTGAACAAAGATGCCCGTCACCACGTGTTCGGTCATATGAACTACGGCCACCCATCCGACTCTTTAGAATCTTGCGGTTTCACGGTGTAAATATAATCAATTGGAGGCACACTACTTCCCTGGGTGGTCTCACTGTTTGGTAGTTGGTTGGACTGTTGAACAATATGTCTTTAATCTGTTCGGGAACCCCAAATTGTCAAACCAACTCAGACTTGCATACATATAAGTGGCTAGTTTTGCCACACTGATGATATTGTTGTGATACGTTTTACAGTTTTGAAACCACTAATATTTGTGTTCAGCGAAATCTCCCGAGTATAACAGTACCCCCCCATGTACAGGTTTCATAGTGTTTTTGAAAGTCAAATATAAGACTTTATTTTCCGTTTGTTCACATTGAAATTTGCCAGATTGGTTATGTTGCCTTTGAAACCGTATGGAAACCCAAGAATGAGAATTAACCCCATGATGGCATACAATTTGCAAAAGAAGACAACCCAAGGTATCGCAAATGGGGTATGTTCAGAGTTTTTTTAGTAGCCAAAGTTAGCGTTTATAAATTTTTTGTATTTTTAAACACAAACAAATATAAATGCTAACTCTGGCCAGTGTTTGTGACTACTAAAAAAGATTGGGCATGCCCCATATTGAATACCAGGGGTTGTATACGAATGGAAACTACCGAATGCATGGACCACCTTAGAGGAGAAGTGTGTCCCTAGTTAAACTCTTATTCCCTTTCTAACCGAGGTCAATTGATGTTGTATTGCTGTATCTGGGTGCCCGCCATTCGGTAGACGAACACACGGCGGCGGCCATCTTACGCACGAACTCTCAGCGGTGTTTGGTCGTCGAGTGTCTGGAACTCAAATCGGACACTCAATTGCGCGAACACCGCTGAGACCTCCAGAGCTCCAGAACTCACAAACGGAGGGGCTATTCCACGCCTCGTTCGGTGAGTTCAATATACCAAACAAGGGGGTTCTTACGAACCCGGTATTGTCTATGGATGGCAAGGATTTCTACCTGTTTTACCTCCCGAACGCAGAGCCAAAATACATGGAACTCCTTTCGGCTACATAGTCGTGTGCGGTCGGTCAAATCATTTATTCCCTATAACTCCCGAACCCCTGGTCTGATCTGGGTGAATTTTGAGTATGTTGGTCACCCAGACCAGGGCTACCAGGGGATGCCACTTAAGTCCTGGTACCCCATGGTTTTGGGGTACATCCAAGAAACAGGGGAAAAGGTACCTGGATTAAGTGTCACACTGAGGGGAGGGAACCTCTGTATTATTGGTTACTGCTGTAATTAAGGTAAATCCCTCCCTTGCATGGGAGAATCCTTTATAAGAGACCGCTGTGAATAAATCTTTAGTTCTGCTCCTGATGCTGTGTGTCGTCCAGTCATTGGGATTGCGATATTGTTGGAGTCTTTTTGCCTGCTGGGATTATTACTCTGTGGATTTATTATACTTGTTCCTGAGCCTTACTGGGATCTAAAGTGGAGATAGGCTGTGTAATACCAGCTCTCCACTACACACTCTTCCAGTGTGGAGGATTCGACGGAGAATGACCTTGTACTGACTAGACCCGTCGTCCAATGCCTCGGGGTGTCTATAGCGAGTTCCCCATTTGGCTCCAGGACCCCAGTCAAGCCATGGCAACTGTGGGCAGAAGTACTGCGGTTTGTTACCAGTTCCAACTAGGAAGCAGTCCTTGGCAGATGTACCCAGCAAGGGGTACAGGGAGCTCCGTTAAAATATATATATTTAAATTCTACCAGCATATTTATGTAATATTTTTACACAATCAAGTAGTTTTATTGATTGCTATTTGAGAGACCTGCCTGACAACCCAGGCTGAAAGTCCAGAGAATTTCATTTGCTGGCACTGTATTGAACCCAGTAACTTTCTATGACATACTAAAACCTGTATATGGTGGTACTGTTTTACTCGGGAGACTTCGCTGAACAGAAATATTAGTGTTTCAAAACAGTAAAACATATCAATGATAGTCAGTGAAAGTGAAGTTTTTTGCATTTTTCACACACAAACAGCACTTTCGCTGATTGTAGCGGAGCTGCAATATTCACATCAATATCTCCGCTGGTAGACTTCTACAATATCCAAGAGAAGCGTAGCTCGGCAATCCTATCCAAATTCCCCAATAACCAGACGGTACAAAGCTTTGGGAGTCAATAGGTTTTTATTGAGCCACAGCTGGCTTTTATACAATTCCCCATGCAAGAGTTTCTTTAATTACATTACAGGGGTTTTCCCCTGGTGGACCTTGTTGGGGACAGGGAACAAAGTCACATTTCCCAGACTCCTCCTCTGTACTTGGGAGATAATTAAGTACAATTCTTTAATTAAATTATCTCCCAAGTACAGAACTATAAACATTTCAAATCATAACTCATATTAGTCAGAACTCCCCTGAAATAGCAGGGCTCTGAGCATCCACTCTGTCAAAATAACTCTCTGCTCCGTATGGTAGAATAGGAACGCCATTCGAGTGAAGTTTAGACTGGTCAACCACGAGATGAAGCCCAAAAATAGTTCCAGGTGGTTGTATGCTTGGACCGGACTTCTTTCAGGAGTTTTTACCATTAAAATAACGAATGCAACTGTTAGTGTAATAGGTGGTCGTGTGCCTTGTATTCGTTCATTCGAATGCCGCTCTGTTTAGGTGAAGGGGAGCGATCATACGAGAGGATGGAAGTTCAGCGGTGTTCGTCTCGAGTGTCCGATTATAGTTCCATGCGCTTGACGACCAAACACTGCTGTCTGTTCGTGAACAAAGATGCCCGTCACCACGTGTTCGGTCATATGAACTACGGCCACCCATCCGACTCTTTAGAATCTTGCGGTTTCTCGGTGTAAATATAATCAATTGGAGGCACACTACTTCCCTGGGTGGTCTCACTGTTTGGTAGTTGGTTGGACTGTTGAACAATATGTCTTTAATCTGTTCGGGAACCCCAAATTGTCAAACCAACTCAGACTTGCATACATATAAGTGGCTAGTTTTGCCACACTGATGATATTGTTGTGATACGTTTTACAGTTTTGAAACCACTAATATTTGTGTTCAGCGAAATCTCCCGAGTATAACAGTACCCCCCCATGTACAGGTTTCATAGTGTTTTTGAAAGTCAAATATAAGACTTTATTTTCCGTTTGTTCACATTGAAATTTGCCAGATTGGTTATGTTGCCTTTGAAACCGTATGGAAACCCAAGAATGAGAATTAACCCCATGATGGCATACAATTTGCAAAAGAAGACAACCCAAGGTATCGCAAATGGGGTATGTTCAGAGTTTTTTTAGTAGCCAAAGTTAGCGTTTATAAATTTTTTGTATTTTTAAACACAAACAAATATAAATGCTAACTCTGGCCAGTGTTTGTGACTACTAAAAAAGACTGGGCATGCCCCATATTGAATACCAGGGGTTGTCTACTTTAAAAAAAAAAAAAATGTATATGTGAGGTGTGATTCAGAGATTTGACATAAGTGTTACAATGTCACTATTGATCAATTTTAAAAATATATATTTTGAAACAGCAATGTCCTACTTGTACATATAGCCCTATAACTTGCAAAAAGAAAAAACAACTAAGAACATGTTAAGATGAGGTATTTCTAAACTCAGGCCAAAATTTAGAAACTATTAAGCATGGGTGTTTTTTTTAGTGGTTGTGGATGCATAACAGATTTTGGGAACCAAAATTAGAAAGAAAAAAAAAAGGGGTTTTAAAATAAATGTCATTTTATAAACAAAGCTAAACACAAACACAGCAGAAAAGTAAAAACAGCCCTGGTCCTTAACGGTAAGAAAATTGGAAAACAGTCTGGTCACTAAGAGGCTAAGCTAAAGTTGTTTTGGTGACTATAGTGTCCTTTTAATATAGCAAAACAACATTTTAATGGACACAAACATGAATAAAATAATGATCGAATAAAGTGCTAAAGCATATTAAAGTAGTCCTTGGCTAATAAAAAGTTGGTTTTAGGGCTGAGAATATTTGTGCCCTGCTTACAAACTAAAACGTTTATTTTAAGCAGTTATTAATTTGATGTATTTAAAAAAATCTGCAATAGTGCAAATAGCGTTTCCAATTAATAGTCAGGGGAAGAGAGAGCCAAAAAGGTGTGATATGATTGGAGCTCCATTGGATCCGAGCAGGATCACATTGCTGGGCTGTGTGTGGACATTCGAACAGCCGGTCACACTGGTTTATTAATGAGAGGGAGTTGTATAAACAAAAAGCTGCAAAGGTCAGCTTGGTGGGGCCCGTATACCCAGGACTTGCTGCAGAGTACTCCCATAGCATACATTAGTTTACAAAATGCAATAATGCAAATACGTATTTCACCTCATAATGGGCGTGGATTTTATGTTTAATTCCTTTCCTTAAAAATGAGGGTGCAACCATTATGTGACACTATATTTTGCGATATATGTGACCATTATGCAAAGCTCTGTTTTTTTTAAACAGTTGCGGATAACATAAAATTTTTCTAAACTGTGATCCTTATCCCTGTTAACACATTATGCCAAAACAGAACTGGTCAAGTTCTCCAACTCGATTAGAGATATTTCCTGTGGGAAAAGTCCAAGTATATTTACTGCTCGTACACTTTGCCCAGGTTACTGTATTCTGAGAGCACATGAAGTCACACAGCAAACCCCATACACAAACACACAGTAATAACACACCATTTATTGTTTGTCATGGTTTAGAATATTACAGTTTAATGCTTTGTTAGTGTTAAAGGGATTGATGGTGTAAAAACTAGATGCCAGAACCCATAGGTAAGGAGTGTAGTGACTAGTACAAAGACGGAGGAATCTAACCCGCACCATACTTTAACTGCTCCTCGTCAAATCCAGATGGAGCCAAAACACAGTCCATGCTTTGTTTAACAACCACTGCCTTAACCCCTTAAGGACACATGACATGTGTGACATGTCATGATTCCATTTTATTCCAGAAGTTTGGTCCTTAAGGGGTTAAAGTGCTATCTTGAAGGATGATGGATCATCGTGTAGCCATAAGAACTATTTTAGCAAACAGTCAGATGGGTGGAAGGTCTGCTTTATAATTTAAAAGTGCCATCAGATTTATGCTCTGAATATTGTCAGATTTGTAGTGTTATTTTACCTCTAGCCCAGGAATATGTTCGAAAACATTGTATATAAAACAGAGCATCAGGTTAACCTTACATACTGAATAGATGCAGGAAGTGGCCAACACATAGGACCAGGAAAAGAGATACCCACTAGCAGACTGTGCGCCCAGGGAGAGATGTGTTTGATTTAGACACATGGAGACTTGCTAGACCTGGCATTCTTCTATGAATGCGGTTGTTGGAAACCTTGAGCTTGGCCAGGATTAGTCGCCTGAGAATTAAAACTAGTTTCTGCTGGGGGTTCATCATAAAATACTGATTTTAAGTTGAACCAAACTGAACCAGAACAAGTTTGGTTTGAGAAAGCATCCTGTAATCAAACATTTTAAACCAGAAATATGGGTAGGCAAAGGTTTGTATGTATGAAGTGAATACTGTATTGTGACAATGGACATTAAGAATGCGCTCAAAGCATCTGTATCCCAATCTGCATGAAACTCCCATAATGAATTACCCACAATGTACATAACGTATGGAGCCACGGTATAAATGTCACTCACACAGTCACTATACTCAACTGTGGACACCAACAAGGAATGGGAAACTCACTGTGAATCAATTAATGGACAAAATGCAAAGTTCCATCAATAAAGATTAGTTTGGACAAAGTCCAAAAGAATGTAAAACCATGAAGTTTTACAGTGGTTGAGCGCTCCTTGCTGACTCCGAGCCACATACTTCTCTCTCTCCTCCATGAAGGATATCTTCCACCAGGTGCACCCGGCTGTGCATGCGTAGTTGAGACTTGTATATGAATAACTGATGACAGCGTGTGCACTGATGGGGACGGTTTCCGGTCAGGTGGGTGCGTTGGTGGCGGTTTAGGTCAGAGTTCTGGCTGAAGCTCTTGGGGCACAGGTTGCATTTGTACGGTCTCTCTCCAGTGTGGGTGCGTCTGTGGTGGATGAGATTGGAGCTGTGAGTGAAGGTCTTGCCACACTGATTGCATCTGTAAGGTCTTTCCCCTGTGTGTGTTCGCTGGTGATCTCGAAGCTGCGTACTGCGGCTGAAGCTTTTAGGACACTTCAGACACTGATAGGGGCGTTCTCCGGTGTGCGTTCTCATGTGCTCTTTCAGCTGGGTGCTTCTGATAAAGCTTTTCGCACAGTGAGCACATTTATACTGTTTGACCGTACCGGTGTTATTCAGCAGTCGCCCTGGTTTACTGCCGGTCAAAGCAGGGAGTCCCCAGCCAGCAGGAAGCACATTGGGCAGCAGGTGGACACCGGGAAAGGAAGAGCCATTCTTCTGAACATACTTCTCTTCCTCAAAATAGCGAAGCAGACTCCCCATCACAAAGTCTGGTATAGGCCGAGCATGTTCTGCGGTCTTCGATGGGGCGGTGTGTTCACTATGGACCGCCTTATCTGTGAGAAAAGAGGGATTGTGTTATATTACAGATGTAAAGTGTTTATATATCCTAAAGCAGTGGTTTCCAACCCACTGCTCAATTCCCCCCGAACAGTCCAAGATTTCAGGATTACACCGTTGTCTCTAAGGGTTTTTTTGTTTTTGTTTTTTTCTTCATAAAACACTTTAGACACAACAGTGTAATCCCTGAATCCTGGACTGGTTGTGGGTACTTGAGGACTGGGTTGGGAACCCCTGTCAGGAGGATTCAGCATTTGGAATAAGAGCCCAGGGTGTGTACTAGGTATCATTGCATCTAATGGCGTTTACTGGGCAAATAAAACTTGTCAGACTAGCAGTGGGCACTTTACAATTAAAAAGCCACATGGATGTCATGTATTGTAACAAACATACACAGAAATTTTTCAATAAGAAGTCAGCTTGTCTTCACTGGAAATAACATCTTCAACGTGTTAAATCTTCTTGCATCAGTCTTTATTTAATACATAATATTCACTGAATTTGTTGATTTGCAGGCGGTTTAATTACATACACAGTCAACACAGTGTGCAAAATAGGGAGCAGAACATACGGCCTTAAACAAGCCACACCGCCAGGTCATCACAGCGACTGCAAACAAGAATGTTTCCCCACTGACCAGAGAGACGACAGGATGCCCAGACTGGCACTCACGGACAGCCTGTCAGCATGATGACATGCTATATAGAATTTGTTTTCCTCTTCTATATAAAAATTTTCAAGATATACACATGCACACTATGTGTGACCGCAAACTATCCAGTTATAAAGATTTTATTCTTATAGATTAAAAACGGACCGGCCAGAAAATAACCCTCGAAATGCACTTTAAATCATGGTCGTTTCATAAAAAAAAAAAAAAAATGCACATAAAAATATAATAAATTTGATGTAAGTGTTATACAGCCAGCGTGTTAAAGAGTTACTCCAAGCATGATGATCACGTCAGTGGTTTGACATGGTACCTGGAGTGTGTATGTGCAGTGTCTCACTGTGAAATGCTGAACATACGGAGATTACACCCTCTGCTGCCGGTGCTCTAGTTTCACCTCAGCCACGGTCATTAGGCAGCCAGGACCAAGAGTTCTGAACAGGCATATATTAATTCTGAGTAAAACAGGCGCCAGATCGCCAATGGCAACACGGCCTCTATCCTTCCAGCAAGTGGCGTCAGCCAAGGAAGATCAGGCCGAAGACAGCCTCCTGCAGAACTGTACACTACACTCTACTCTCACTGCACTGAATCTCCGCCAATGCCCGCAGAACCGCATACACTGCACTGAATCTCCGCCAATGCCCGCAGAACCGCATACACTGCACTGAATCTCCGCCAATGCCCGCAGAACCGCATACACTGCACTGAATCTCCGCAGCACCGCATACACTGCACTGAACCTCCGCAGCACCGCATACACTGCACTGAACCTCCGCAGCACCGTATACACTGCACTGAATCTCTGCCACTGCCTGCAGCACCGTATACACGGCACTGAATCTCTGCCACTGCCTGCAGCACCGTATACACGGCACTGAATCTCTGCAACTGCCTGCAGAACCTTATCCACTGCACTGAATCTTCGCAACTGCCTGCAGCACCGTATACACTGCACTGAATCTCTACCACTGCCCGCAGAACCTTATACACTGTACAGAATCTCTACCACTGCCCGCAGAACCTTATACACTGTACAGAATCTCTACCACTGCCCGCAGAACCTTACACACTGTACAGAATCTCTACCACTGCCCGCAGAACCTTACACACTGAACAGAATCTCCACCACTGCCCGCAGAACCTTATACACTGTACAGAATCTCTACCACTGCCCGCAGAACCTTACACACTGAACAGAATCTCCACCACTGCCCGCAGAACCTTATACACTGTACAGAATCTCTACCACTGCCCGCAGAACCTTACACACTGTACAGAATCTCTACCACTGCCCGCAGAACCTTATACACTGTACAGAATCTCTACCACTGCACGCAGAACCTTATACACAGTACAGAATCTCTACCACTGCCCGCAGAACCTTACACACTGAACAGAATCTCCACCACTGCCTGCAGAACCGTATACAGTGCACTCTGCTCTCACTGCACTGAATCTCCACCACTGCCTGCAGAACCGCATACGCTGCACTGGATCTTCGCCACTGCCTGCAGAACCGCATACGCTGCACTGAATCTTCGCCACTGCCTGCAGAACATTGGACGCTGCATCTTCCAGCCGTGTCCGACTCACACAGTGTTGACCATCACACTATGCCCTCTGCATCTTACAGCTACATCTCCACACTCAGTCTGCCTAATATTACAGCAGCTTGTGTCTTACAGCAGTCTCTTGCTACTCCTGCTGCATTCCAGTGATTACAATCTGGAACGTACTGTCAAATCTCAAGCTGCTGTCCCAACAAGTTATCAAAATATTTACCTGTGAAATAAAATGGGTAAAATAAAAATCCCAACATGAGCACCTGTCTGTTTACCTCTAGGAGCGGATTACAGTTCTGTACTTTATGTTTTAAGGCATCTTCCGTGTATCCGTGTGGAGAGAGTGGCAGGTATCACTGCGAGTCCATTGGCTCAGTCACAGCACGGGGCCCAGGACGGTACCAGACGTGGGAGATTGTTCACTGCAGTGTTAAGACATAAGCTGGCAATGGTCAGGCCAGGAGATTAATAGCACAATGAGGCAGTAAAAGGCCAAAACAGATTGCATTCTCCTGGGGGAACTGCTAGTGTTGGTGTGAAGGAGGGACTGGTCCGAGAAATACAGAGACAGGGACAGGACACGGCAGTGTTTAAATAGAGAAGTACAGCAGACAGAAAAAGAAAAAGGAAAGCAGAAAAGGTAGAGCAACCATCACCAAACAAAACCACATTTAGGTGCCTTGGTCACGGTGTCTGGATATAGTCAATGTACGAAGGAATTCATTGTCTCCATTAAAAAATATCTAAAGAACTCGGCAGTAAAAAAAAAAAAAAAAAAAAATCCATTAAATGTAGACTCTCTAAACTAAATATTTAAGAAGATAAACTGAATGATAGAAACAATAAATAAAATTCTATATTGTGTGTACTATAGATCACAATCATTGAGTTTTCATTATACGAGACTTTGAGCACATGCGACTCTTCACATTCAAACTAAGAAATAAAAAATAGCCTCTGGATTAAGTTCTAGCTGTTCTGCGTTCATTAACTAAACTTCGTTTGAGAGTGAAAGATTTCTCTTTTTATATTAAATTGCAAAAAAACAAACAGGAACGCCAGGTATAATTTCAGTATTTACCAGCAGGTCAATGTGCTTTGTCTTACCATGTGCCCAGAGAGAGATGAATTCATTGTCTGTGTCCACCTTTCTCTGGTAATACTGGGGGGCAGCAGGGGAAGGAACGGGTGGATTATCCATAAGGATGGGGATTCTACACATTGTTTTCAGCCACAATCCCTTCTTCAATGTCCTGTTAAGAATTTCTACCACGGCCTAAAGAAGCGTTAATGGGTGGACAGGGAAACGGTAAATTCAGTGATATCGTTAAACAGAGTGTGCGCAGAGACAGCGTCCAACAAAAACAAAATCCCACTGGATGAGGGAAAACGGGAACAAAATGTATTCAACTACAAACGCAAAGTATTTCTAGAAATAAATAAGGTTATATTGAAAAAAAACTAAGAGTCATTAAGGCAGTTCTGTGCAGTCTGTGCCATCTGCTCGTGGAGTGCAGAACAATCTCTGTTGTGTTGTACCATGCCATCATCCAGTACATTCATTTCAGACAGCCACTCGTCCATCTTCTCTCTCATGCTTGGATTAGTGAAGGGGAGAGAGTAACAGTGGATGTTGTGTGTTTTTTTGAAGCTGTTTAGCCAGCCATTAGAGGCCTTAAAGTCTCGAACCCCCAGCTCGCTGGCGATCTGCAGAGCTTTTTCCCGGATGATACGGCCTGAAAGAGTAATGTCACTGTCTCTGGCAGACACAAGCCATTCCCACACAGCAGCATTGACCTGGTCATTGGTTGTCCTCCTCCGGCGCCGAATGCGGTCGCCACTCACATTGTTCTGGAGTGCATCGAGTAATTCCTCTCTGCGTCTGATGATCTGAATAATCTGAGACCGACTGACTCCAAACTGTGTTGCCAATGATGCCACCGTCTCATTATTCTCATAGGCGCACAGAACCAAGATTTTGTCTTTCAGCTTCAGCCCAGTCCGCTTGTTAGACGTCAATCTCGGCCGGCAACCCTTGGATGGAGAGCGAATTGGCGTGCTGTTTGTCCCTCCAGTGCTGTCATGTATGGTTGGTGCTGGAAGGGACAGGAAGGAACCAGGTTACAGGTCTAAGTTGAAGTACCAAATGGTCCAAACTTTCCAAAGCTGAAGAAACTACTCCCCCAACAGTTAAAACCAAACATCTCACACCAAGGCCAGTGGGAGGACATTTAAATACCTGCACTTACAGCAAAGCTTCTGAAAAGCCATAATCACATCACATGAAAAACTCTCCACAAAAGCTAACAATCTACGCACCATGGCAGAAAACATTCATTCTCCTCTCTAAGCTCTGAATCTCAATAAATATCTGCTTCATGGTGTCTAATGCTGCAAGACGTGAGTATATTGACAGTTTTCCCCCCACAAAATATATTCTAAGGAACGAAAAGAGCAAATACCTAAAGTCTGCAGTCCCCGGTTATATAACAATACGCTGGGCAGAAATATGTCAGGAGAGATAAAGTAACAGATTATATGTTAATATCAAAACTTCATAAACATTCAGAAAATGTACATAAAGCCATGAATACATAGGTTTCTAACATACAGTCGGCATAACAAAAATCTGAGTGTAAATAGCTGTGGATGTTTGTAGGGAAAATTCCCTTTTTGGGAATCCAGACTCTCAGAATGCCAGACAGTAAATGTTGCCTCCTGACACCTCGTTCCTTGGAGCATCACACAGATCAATACCCCTGGGGCCAAGATATTTGCTCCAGGATCTGTTATGGCTGAGGGGGTCAAGGACAAAGCAGGTCACCGGAGTCATTCAGTTCAGGGTGAGAACCAGCAATACAGCAAAGTAAAGAGAAATGAGACAGTATCTTTTTATTGAGAACCTGTCATGGTAAGTTTGTTTGCTGTGCATACATTGCAATAATGGTGTCACGATGGATTTGACAACTTATCTGGGTCTTGTATCGCGTTCGCAACCTCCTCCTTTAACAGAACCCAGGGCCATGCTAGGCCACACTTATTGGCAGAGCGTTCCAGCTGAGAGACATCTAGCTCCCCCTGCTGGGGAAGACTGGATGCAAAGCAAACACCTAGGTAAGCTGTCAAAACGCAACAAGGGCACTTCTGGCTCCATAACCGCAACAGTGGGCTGTAGTTGTTATGGTACTTCGAAAGTTCCTTTAAAAATCTTGTGTGGTTCACTCTGTTCTCAAAGAAAACAAATGTGGACCTGATTGCTGCAATGAGATTATTTTGAAAATAACTAAATGGCAGCAAATTGTAACTGAATTTTCCTGCTTTGGAGAAGAGAAAAAAAAAACTATTTTAAAAGTAATGTGCTCTGGGGCTGCGCGGTTATAGCCGAACCACGGCTAGGGGCTGCGCTGTTATAGCCGAACCACGGCTAGGGGCTGCGCGGTTATAGCCGAACCACGGCTAGGGGCTGCGCGGCTATAGCCGAACCACGGCTAGGGGCTGCGCGGTTATAGCCGAACCACGGCTAGGGGCTGCGCGGTTATAGCCGAACCACGGCTAGGGGCTGTTTATTTTGGACATATGTCACTGGTTGTATGTCTATTGGCACTGCATGTAAATTTAACTCCTTCAGTCGCGTACACATCTTGCGCAGTCCTCACATATTGTCTGAGTGTGCACAAGCTCGTACAGCATTTCTTTGCAAATACCGGAACATGCATGCACCTGAGGCACCATGGGAAAAGCAAAACCTCACACAAAGTGCAGTGTAAGCAAATGCATTTCTCCTTTATTCACCCCAGTAAATGCTAAGCAGAGTTTACTGGGGTGAAGGGAGGAGGAACAGAGACAGCTCCGCTTTAATGGGGGTCAAATTCATGTAAAATGAGAAGAAAAAAGGCAGAAAACAGACAAAAGGGCAAATTTGTTAAAGCGAGCTGCGTGCAGAGATCAAGGACTTATACGATATAATATTTGTAGATTCTAGCAGTTATAGAATTTGTTACTGAAAAGTTAAAGAAAAGATACATTGAAAGCAAAGTCTGTCACATGATATGCCGCCAGCCCAGTACAGCCACATGATATGCCGCCAGCCCAGCACAGCCACATGATATGCCGCCAGCCCAGCAGTAAAAGAGATTCCCAGGCACTCAAAATGTGAAAGCCGCAGGCAGATTTTGTGGCAAACCCTGCCACTGGAACTGATCATTCTGTGTGAATGAGGGACTTTCACCAAGGGAATAACTAACCGAATGGACTTTCCTGTTATATTGCTGTTTTTAGGCAAATGACCGAAACTACCGAACGGGAGACCACCCCGGGGTGGTCGTGTGTTTCCAATTATCTGAACGATACAATGTTGCGAGGGAATTAAGTGCCTGTATGTGTGGTCGCCATTTCGCATACCGAACACGTGGCGGCGGCCATCTTACGCACGAACAGCGGTACTTGGTTGTCGAACGCCTGGAACTCAAACCGGCATTCGACTAACCAAGTACCGCTGAGACCTCCAGCATGCTCCGACAGCACGAATCAAACACACGAACGCCCCGGCGTTCGGTAGATAGATTCCCCTAAACGAGGGGATTCATGCGAAGGCTTGCAATCGCATGGATGGCTAGGTTATTCAGTATTTTTAATTCACTGAAATAGACTGACCGCAGGGCCAGAATTCATGGAACTGTTTTCGGCTACTGAGTCCCTGCGGTCGGTCAAATCTTTAACTGTTTGTAACTCCCGAACCCCTGGTCCGATCTGGGTGAATTTCGAGTATGTTGCTCACCCAGATCAGATCTACCAGGGGACCCTTTATTTGTCCCTGTACCCCCTATATTTAGGGGACATCTAGAAAGTGGGGAAAACTCTGTCCCCACTAATCTGTTTAAGGGCTAATCTAAGGGGAGGTGACCAGGTTACAATTGGCTACTGTACTAATTCTGAAAGTTACTTCCCTTGCATGGGAGAAATGCATAAAAGCAGACTTGTGAATAAAGCTGACAGTTGATTCCCAGACTATGTGTCGTCTAGTCCTTGGGGAGGTGGATTATGCTGTGTTCCTGTGATTTTGTATGCTGAATCTTTGTTCCCAGCGGAGAGCCACTGGATTAACCCCTGCTCCTCCGCTAAAGATTTATTGCAACAAAATAGACAGCAACGTTTCGACCTAACAAGATCTTTTTCAAGCTAACAGTTAGCTTGAAAATGACCTCTTGTTAGGTCAAAACATTGCGGTCTATTTTGTTGCAATAAATCTGCCTGTGGCTTTCACATTTTAAATGCATGCGAATCTTTTTTACTGCTTTGACGTGTTGGGATTGCTGGACCTGTTCCGAAGCACATGTGGCCGCTGGGAGTGAGTGCAGTTCCTGTGACCAATTTTGCTATATAGTATGACCAGCCTATCGCAGTCACATGATATGCCGCCTAGCACAGTCACATGAAATGCCACCAGCCTATCACAGTGAGGACTTAGAGGAGAGATACTCTGCACATTCTCCTATTAATAACAAGCCTACGAAGCCTGATTAGAATAAAAACCAAATCCCACATCACAGAAGGGGCTCCTCCTCCTGCTTTATCCACAAAGACAGCTCTGGGTTGAAAATGGCTGAATCTATGAGACCGTAAACAAATAAAAAAACAACAGAGAGCAATAACCCTTTTAAAGTGTTAATTGAAGAAACGCACTAAGTACAGCTGTTATCACTACAGAAATATACAGCATTTTATTCATCATGACACAGTGTGTGGCAAATTGTGCACTATAAAAGTTAGTTTATCATGCACCCATCCCATCTGAGTTAAACAGAACACAAATATGAAAACAAATACTGAAAAGGAAAAATCTATTAATGCAAATCAGAAATCTGAACACTACCAAATCCTCCACCTAGCAAACTAAACATATAGAAAGGATTTGTTTATATAGTCTGATCGGGTATAACTGCCTTCAACAAATCACCTACCGAGCAAACATCACAAACTGATTCCATTTACACAACACAGGGCCACCAAGGTAATCAGATCAGACAGGAGGGTTCCATTTACACAACACAGAGCCACCAGGTAATCAGATCAGACAGGAGGGTTCCATTTACACAACACAGAGCCACCAGGTAATCAGATCAGACAGGAGGATTCCATTTACACAACACAGAGCCACCCGGTAATCAGATCAGACAGGAAGATTCCATTTACACAACACAGGGCCACCCGGTAATCAGATCA